TGAACTCAGAGCCATCCCACAAGGCATGTTTCATAGCTGTTCCTGGTAACTTGCTTGCGCTGTCTGTCGTCTTTGCTCGAGGACAGCTTCGCCTTGCAGCGGAGTCGGGCGCTGCTTTGAACAGGAGTAATCCAATTATTGCAGGGACTGCGAACAGAAGAAAATTTCATTGCATATTTACTGCCACACTTACTGCTAATGAACTGCCGTAGGCATGGAGGGGGAGGAGGAGGGAGACGGCAGCGCTTGGTGCTGGGTACTGCTACCCCAGGCCTCCCCCCAGGAGCGACACAAGGCCCCCCTCATCCTGTTGGAATTCAGCTCAGGTCCCGGGACTGGATGGACCCTTGCTTCATGTGATTAAACACAGTCTCAGACACACGCCCGCCCCGTGCACACCTGTGCTCACAGGCCCACACTTGGCTTGCATGTGGTAGGGTATAGAGCCTTGGGGCTGTGGGGGGCCCACTGTAGGCCACAGAGGAGGCACCTGCCTACGCTAGGTATCACTACTCTTGACAGCACATGCTCAGGAAAGGCAGGTGGAGAGGGTCCCTGGCCTCGAGCGCTGGCCCCAGGGCCCCAAGTCCGCTGGAGAAGACTTGGAAGGAAGCTTATAGCCCGCATGGACCTCAGCCTCCTCCTGTGATGGAGCCAGCCAGGGCTAGGAGAAAGTCGCCAGGCTTCCAGGTATCAGGAGAAAGAAGCAGCAGGACGGCTTCCTCACTGGCCATTTCCCGCGCACCCTGTGGGCCGTCCCTCCCGCGGGGACAGCCAAGGAACGTGACTCCAGCCAAAACGTCTCCCAGCCTCAGGGCCGCTGACGGCGGCTGTGCGACTGAGGGTGTGCAGTGCGGGGTGGGCGGCATCTCACGTGAGGTCAGCTGCAGCGCTCCAAACTATGTGCTGAGGACACGTGTAGACATGTGCATTCGTGTGTGTGCTGTGTGTGTGGCCAGATCAGAGGCGTGTGTGGGTCACCTGGCAGTGCCTTTGGGGAGGCCTGTTCATGGAGACAGAGGCCTGTGGACCTGCCGGAGGCCTGGCAGAACCCATTCACTCCGTCCCTGAGGCAAACCTCTTTCCTCTGAGGACAGGGCCTCCCCGTTCTGTCATCCAGGCATGCCCAGAGGGGCTTCCTTCCCCAGCTGGGGCAGGCGGAGAGGACACAGGGTATGGGAGACACGAATCCCTGACCACGGCCCGTGGAGGAAACGTGGCGGCTCTCACACATTGCAGGCTGTGACAGTCGTGCAGGGCCCCGCCATCAGCCCGTCCCTCGTGTCCTCAGGAAGCTCCGTCGGCCTCCGGGGATATCCTTCCCCTCCCCTGAGAGCTGCCGGGACTGCTCAGCAGTCCCCACATGGAACAGTGCTGTGAGGCGTGGGTGTGAAAGTCCCTTTGTCCCCGGGGCCTGCTGGCCCAGCGCCAGCTCTGTGCCTCCCTCTGCGTCCAGCAGGAAGTGGCTGGGCTGCACACGGCACTGGGGGCCAGCAGAGCACCTGAGTGGCCGGCGCTGTGGCCTGCATCCCCAGCGCTGGTTCCCGGCACACCCCGTCTGGAGTCTGGGCAGGGCCAGCGTTTCTGCTCTCCGCCCACTGTGCAAGCTTCCGAGCACCCAGAGTGGTCTGCTTGCGTGTGCGTGTGGGAGTGAGCCCTGAGCCTGCACACATGCGGGTGTGTACACACATGTGCCTGTTGTGTGTGTGCTTACATGTGCACAGGCGTGTTTGTGCACACATGAGCCTGTGGTCCGAGTACCGTGTGGCCAGGCATTTTGGCTGCAGCATGGCAGACCTCATCTCAGCCCTGACTCGGGCCCCAGGCCCCACCCTTTCCCTCCCTCCCGCCCGGGCCTGACCCTGAGCGCTGTGTGTCATGTCATCACACCCTGTTCCCGGAGCTCCCAGTGACTGTGGAGCTCTGCTCAGCCCCCACCTCAGCTCTCAGATCAGAGCACGTGAGGGGCCTTGCCCCTGCAGCTGCTGCCCTGCCCTGCCTGGTCTGGGCTAGCCTGGCCAGACGACCAGGCCTGCTCTGTGTGTGGAAGGCTATGCTGCAGCTCTTGGGGCTGGAGGTGCCCTTAGCAGACAGCAGAGTTCCCGCGGCAAGTCGGGGCAAGAGGAGACGGCCCTGGGGCCCTGGGGCCCTCGTGATGTCTCTGAGGCTCAGAATGCAGGCAAGGTCTGGCTGTGCTGAGCACCTCCTTCAGGTGGCTCATGGGGCCAGGTGGGATTCCTGCAGGTCCAGCCAGAGCCTTTCCAGTGCCAGCTCAGTACACATGCACACACACACGTACACTGTCATTAGCTTTGGGAATTCTCAGACACCGTAAATGGGTGCTTAGGGTGCGGTGTGTGTGATAACCCTGTGTCTCATGGTTTAAGGAAGGTTTTCGTACCATCTTTCATTGTCACTAAAATAGTGCTTTCACGATGGGAAGGACAGCTGCTAGCTGTTACAAGAGTAACAAGCGGCCTGGGAATGGTGTGTGGCACCGCCCGGCCCCTTGGCCAGTGGGCACCACGCTGGGCCAGTGGGCGGGAAGGCCAGCTTGGGCCTGCTGCATGGCACTTGGGGAGCACAGCTGCAGTGGCTGTGTCCTTCAGACCCCTTCTCAGGACGCCAGAAGCACCGCCCTCCCGCTCCCGGCTTTAGAGGGCAGCAGGGCCCCACTTCCCTGATACCCGCTTGGGGACGCAGCCCTGGTCCTCAGCTGATGCCTGCACCCCCACCTGACTTTTCAGGTGGGCAAGGGACAGTCCCAGGTCCCGTGTTCCTCTCAGCTTAGGCTGCCTGGTGAAACCCTTGGGTGGGTGTGAGCACCACACATCCGTCCTTGCTCTGGAGTTGAAGGCAAGATCCAGGCTGCTTCCTGCCCTTCCTGGCCTGTGACAGCTACCCCCACTGTGCCCCCTGGGTGATGGGCTGGCAGGGACACTCTGGTGCTACTCAGGAGGGCATTGGTCCCGTCACTCAGGCCCTCAGACCCTGTGTGACCTTAGTTACTTCCCAAAGCCCGGTCTCCAAACTCAAGGTGCCGAGCTTCAGCACACCAATCTGCACTCAGCACATAGCAGGGGCCCAGAAGACGCCCACCTTGCTGCACGTGGGCGTGAAGGTGCCAGGGTGGGGTGGGCAGCACAGTCCACAGGTCCTGTGGCGCAGCTGGCAGATGTTGCTCGTCCATCTTTGGCTTCTGTGCTCTGTGGGAATCTGCTCAGGCCCAGGTGAGGAGGCCTGGTCACTCCCACCGCCCTCTACGCTGACCTGTGACCTCCCAGATTCCCCTGCCCTGGAAGGGCCCCAGGCCTTCCCTGGGTGATGTCACCTGATGACCCAGGCCTGTCTCTGGTCATGTCGCCCTTTGCCCACTGCTCCTACAGGGTGGTCGCTGAGTCCAGGGCCAGACTCAGGACCCCGTGTAAAGTGGAACCGCAGGGCTGCCTGTTGAAATTAAGGCTTCCCAGGTGCGGGGAGCACGGCATCGTCCCACTGGGGGCCCAGACTCTGTCTGCAGGGTTTATGCATAGGGTTTCAGGCGATTGCAGACGTCTGCATAGCGACCCTCGCTCCTTTGCTGGGAGAAATTTTAGTAAACTCACTGCGTCCTGCAGAACTGCGGTTCCAGTTTATGCAAATGGAGCGTTCCGTGGCTTATTTTTTAAAAAAGAAAAAGTGAAACAGAAAAGAACGTCCAAGAGGGGTGGGAGCCCAGGAACCGAGGAAGTTGCCAGAGGGAGCAGGGCTGGAGCCAGATAACAAGGGGCTGTGGTCCCCTGTCCTGGGCTGGTGCCTCTGCAGGGTGGGCCGTGCCGGGTTCAGGCACCTCCCGGGGCTCTGTGTACCCACCGCCGGGCCAGGGAGCACAGAAAGCCCCAGGAAGGAGGGGCTCAAACAGGGAAGCGGGAAGTTCTTAGTACGTGAGTCACAGCCATCCAGGTGAGAGGAATTCCAGGTGTGCATTAGACACGGGACCTCCTGCCTGGGGACCCCCATCAGGTGCTGTGAGCCCCGGCGGCCATGGAACGCAGGCATGGCCACTCACCCCCCACCCCGCCCCCCGTGGCATTGGACTTGGGCCTTCGCGGTTTGTTTTATTCCATGTAAAACGATGTTTTCTCTCTTCCTTCACCTCGTGGCTAAAGCTGGGGGGAGAACCCCAAATACGCAGATGTGGGTGTGTGCAAGTTAACCCTGGACAGAAACAGTCCTGGCCAAAGCTGGTGTGCTTCTCTCTCGAGTCCAGGGCGTATCTGTGGGGCTTGCCCTTGTAAGCGTGCCGTGAGGTAGCTGGAAGCCCATGTGGAAGGAGGTGATACTGTTCCCTACTTGAGAACTCGCTAGTAGGCCTTTGGAGGTTCTGGAAAGAAGGCTACAACGATGCCGTCAGCAGCTGCACTGTGGGCTTCCTGGGTCCAGGCCTTCCTCTCCCGGTGTGGTCTCCACGCTCCGTCCCTGGGCAGGAGGCCCAGGGAAGAAAGAACGTGCAATTTCTGCCTGGAAGAAGTCAGTTTGGGCTGCAGGATCCCTGGGCTCGAGGGAGCGGTCACCACCCGCCGACCAGTCCCACACCAGTGCCCAGCTTCTCCCTGCCCCGTGGCTGCAGCAAGGACCAAGCCTCAGGGTCAGCACAAGCCTGCAGGGTGGGGACACAGTCACTGAACCAAGCCCTGCCCCCTGCGCCTGGCACCAATCCCTGGCACCCTCGAGGAAAGCATCCCTGTGGCCCTTGGTTGCTCCGTGCTGCTTGCTGAGGAGGCAGGAGAGCCCAGCTCAGGAAATGATTCCCTACCTAGAGGACAGGTGTCCAGCCGTTCCTCCCAAGGGCCTGTCCCTGGGGCCACTGAATCTGGCATGTGGGGCCACACCAGAGCTGCCCAGGGCTCCCCTGCGATGTCCAGGGGCCGAGAACCGGTGCTAGGACTCAGGCCCTTGGGCACATCTGCGTGAGCACGTGGGCAGCACACTGACCGGCTGTCTCCTTCCTCTCTCCGCAGCACGCATCATCAGAACCAAGCAGTGGTGTGACATGCTCCCCTGCCTGGAGGGGGAGGGCTGCGACCTGCTCATCAACCGGTCCGGCTGGACGTGCACACAGCCCGGAGGGCGGATAAAGACCACCACGGTACGTGGCCCGCTCTGCGCTGCGGGGGGACCTGGCAGGGACACTCTGGTGCGCCCGCTGGGAGGGGCCTGTGACGGGACGGGTGGCAGAGGTGGCTCCTCCTCTAGCAGAACCTCGTGCCCTCTGCTCCCTACTTCGCCCTTAGGGCTGCTCCCTTAGGATGCAGCAGCGCGTCCCAGATCAGGTGGTCATCAGTTGGTGAGCTCTGGGACTGGGCAGCCGACCCAGAACTGTCAGGAGGGCTGCGTCATACTGGAGAGGGTATTCGGTATTGGAGTGCGCATGGGGGTCACGTCAGGTACACCCTGACCCGAGGAGGAGCTTCTGGACCTTTCTAAAGCATCAGGACCTGGGCTGGGCACTGCAGGATTCTGCTCCCCCAGGTGGCAGCTGGCGTGGCATGGTGGCTGCCCACTGCCCCCAGGGCACTCGACTCTCCTCATCCCACCGAGCAGGGGCTCTGTGAGCTCCTCTAAAGGAACCATGGCAACTTGGTCCCCAGAACCTCCCCCCCGTGGGTGGCTTGGGGTCCTTTGCGGGGGGCCTTTCTCCAGCATTGTCCCTGGGTGCCGTGGGGGCGCTGGGTGCTCCAGTGCTGGGGTCCAGGGGTGGGCTGATCTCTTTGGGTGGCCGATGCACCGCTACTCCGGCTCTCCCTTCATGAAGGTGAAGGGAGGCTGAGCTCCCATTCCCCTGCCAGATCCAGGTTCTGTGAAGTGAGGGATCCAGGGCCCCGGGAAGGGGCCGGCCCTCTCCAGGCTGGGGCTGCAGCCCACGATGAGAGGGATGAACGCCCACCCCTTCTGCCGGTCCTTCCTGCGAGACCCGTGCGGGCCGTCCTAGCAGTGCATCCAAGGAGCCACTTCGCTGTGGCTGTGGGAGGGGTCACACCACGGCCTGGCCCACAGGCTGGGTGGGCAGATGGCCCAGAGCGCAGCTCAGCCCCGGGCTGTGAAGCCGCAGCACGTGTCCCCCAACAGACAGCTCAGCCCCGGCTGTGAAGCTGCAGCCCCAGGTCCAGCGGGCTGTCCTGAGCCCTGCTGTGTGGGGGATGTGAGCGACTTGCCTTCCCGCAGACCAGGCCAGCCACAAGTCCCTCCCTGAGCATGGCCGTCCGAGAGCAGCACAGACCCCCAGGCTCTCGGGCCTTGCTGGCACAGCATGAACTACCCGAGCCCGGCTGCCACAGCCCCACGCTGCACCAGGTTGAGTGTGGGCCACTGCAGAGGCGAGGGTCCGCCCTGTCCCACGGCGTACCGGGCCCGTGGCTTCTCACTGCTTCCTTCCCGCCCTGGCGCTCCCAAGCCGGGTGGCTCCCAAAGTGGGTGACGACCTCCAGGAAAGTCAAGGTTGCCCATGCGAGTGCTTTCCATAAAGGCGGGGACCAGTGGCAGCGGGAGGCCCGTCCCAGGGCAGGGCTGTGATGTCCGCGTCTGGACGCAAGGAAGAGGTTCTCAGCCCCCTGTTCAGGAGATGTGACCGAGACAGGCTTCTGCACTGTCAGCCCAGCCCCCAAATTCACATCTGGAGAGGTGAGACTCGTGAGGAGCCGGGCCCCTGCAGCCCCTGTGGGGAGGCCGTGCCCTCCCAGCTGGGAGCCTGTGGTCAATAAAGACACCGCAAGCCTGGGCGGCCTCTGGCCCTTCCGAGGACACAGGCTGTACCTCCTTACCCTGAAGTATAGAACGCCGTGGGCAAGAGACACCTCCTCGGCCTCATCGTCCAGGCTTGGGACTATGGGGCTGACCAGCTGGGGTGGCGAGTTAGACTTAGATAGATGGCGTGATGGCAGGGGCCTCAGCAGCCCCCGTGCAATGTGGGTGGGCAGGGGCACCTCAGGCCCTGTTGCCTGCTTCTTGGTCCTGCTCTGCTGTGCCCAAGGACTGTGGGGTTGGTGGGTGCCCGTGGACTGCAGAGGGCCAGGACCACACAAGCACGACCTGTCCTCCAGGCCTTTGCCCCTCCTGGTGTCCTGAGGCTCTGTAATGAGTCCGCGCTTCTAAGTCACGGGTGTCTGCCCTCTTGGCTGGCCTGGGCCCGCTGAGTGACGGGGAATCATCTTGGGCCTCATATAAATCTATAATATGCTGAATGTATGCAAGCAGCAATGCTGCCTTTATTTATTTTACTTTCATTGTAATGTTTTCATTATAACCCAACAAGCCCAAGTTTAATAATAACCTTAGTGGGGCTGGGGTTTTAGCTCAGTGGCACAGCGCCTGCCTGGCAAGAGCAAGGTCGTGAGTTCGATTCCCAGTAATGGAAAAAAATAAAAAGAAATAATAATAATAATAACCTTAGAAGCCTCCTCGAAGTTCTGCTTCTTAGCAGTTGTAGGCAAGTTGAAATGCCGCCGTCGGTCACCCCGAGTTTCCCCGTGACGTCTCTCACGCATGTGTAAAGTGTGATGGATTCGCGGGTGTGTGACTGGCGCAGGAAGCCAGGTCAGTGCAGGGCTGCATCCTCCCCTACAGCTTCAGTGCTGCCTCTGCAGTCCACACTCAAGCACCAGGCGACAGACTCATGAGGAATACCACTCAGGCCACACAGTAAGGGTGGCAGTTTCCTGCGGTCCTGGAGGCTGCGTGACCAGCTGTCTGGGACCGCGGCAGCCAGGGTGGGGGTCAGGCTCGTGCTCCAGGTGCACACGCAGTGCTGTCACCTCTCTACCCTGGGCCCCACGGAGCTCGGCCTTTGCGTCAGTGTCCTGGGCCTGGCCACCAGCCGGAGGCCCAGGGCGGCAGGCACCTCTGTCTCGCCGCCTGCTGAGCTTTTTTTCTGGGCAGCAGAGGCTTCACTTCCAGGGCACCGGCTTCACAGACGTCTCCGACTTTCCCCACAAGGTGTCATTACCCGGACTCGGGCCCTCGGCCTGGCCCAGCTCTGTCCCCAAGACAGACGGGCGGCACAACTTGAAGCCACCGGTGTCGCCGGTCTGTTCACTGGGGTGAGAGCCCTGCACTGCAAAACCCCCGTTACAAACTGAGCCTTCCAGTGGCTTTCGTGCATTCACAGGACGTGCGACCACACTCCGCCCAGTGTTAAAACACATCCTCACCTGGAACAGCTGCTTCCCAGCCAGCTGGAGGGCCAGGGCCCATCCTCCCCCACGCTCAGCCCAGCCTCCCTGTGGCGCCCCCAGACTGGCGATCGGGTACCCCGGTGAGCGGGGGCCTCCCCGAAGTGCAGTGATGGGAAGTGGCTGCCCCAGGCCACCAGAGAAAGCCGGTCAGTGGGCTCCAGTGGCAGCTGGCCCTCTGTGCCCTCAGGTCCATGCCCTGAGTCAGCGTCATATCGCCCCGCTGGGCAGCAGCAGCAGGGCACAGGTGCCCACGGCATCTCCCTGGTGCCCCGGCTGCACTGCAGTGGGAGGGCGTGGGGGTCCTATGCAGACACAGCGCCGTCTTACACAGGCACGGGCCTCCTGGAGCAGTCCCTGCGGACACTGTGGGCACGGTCACTGCCAGGCTGCGGCACACCAGGAGGGCATTCAGCCTCGCTCTGCTCCAGCTCGCTGCCCCACGCCTGTGTCCGCCTCTCTTGCCCCACCAAGTCCTTTTAACCGGGTCCTACTGACGAATCAAGGAGTACGGCAAGGGCCATCGGCCCATCTCCCTGTGGGCAGAGACCAGGCTCGGGGTTACTGGGTCTGCTCCTGCTCTTGAGGGTATGTGGCCGAGGCTGGCCACCACTGGGGACACTGGGATGGGCTGCCAGCCTGCTTAATGTGGCAGCAACCGCTATGGTTGTCTACTGCCCAATTTATGGGAAGCACCTTGTGGACGCTCACCGGATGATTCCCTGTGGCCTCCAAGGTCTGCGAGCTCCAGCCACAGAAGCTGCAGATGGTCACCTTGGGTGACCATGGTGGCCAGGTAGTTGGAAGGCCAGGGAGGCAGGATTTGCATAGGCAGGGAATCCTCAGAGGGACTCCTCCCTTCCCGCAGTGTGTGTGCGTGGAGGGCCTCCATCCGCATCCTAGCCCACAGTTGGTGATGTCCTGGAATGCGCTTACACTGGGGCCAGGGCCATGGGCTGTGCAGTCGTCTTGGGAGCCATAGGACTCAGCTCCCCCGGATCCCGGGACTTGCAGCCGGCTTTCCAGGTCTCTAACACGTTGGGTGAACTCTCAAGCCAGACACTGTAGCACTGAAGCTCGTAATCCCACTCCAGGGTCGCATCCCGACCCCTCACAGTAGGTAGATGAGCGCCGTGGGGCTTCCTTGTCTTCATAAATTGGTTTTCTGAGAGATGATGGTTTTCTCATAAATTAGCTCTAAGAAGTGTGGTGATTCCGTCCCAGTGCCCGTGTCCGGGTTGGAAACCTCCGGCCACTGCCGCTCCCCACCCTGTTGTGCCGACCCGCAGGGAGCCCTGCTGTGACACTCAGGCGCTCCTCTTGTCACCTGTCATTTCTGTGTGTCCCCAGAGGGAGCGCCACTCAAGGGCAGGCCCTGGGCCCCTGCCCCTCCCGGGCCTGCATAAGTAGTGTGATGAATGGATTCATTGATTAACCCAACAGGGACCCGGGCACATGCTGACGTTTGCGTTTCCGAGATCACTGCTTCTCCGGTGCAGGTCATCACCCCATTAGCGGGTTGTGAAAGTAATTCAGTGGCTCATGATCAGCATTTGAAAGGAGGGAGAAATGGAATAAAACATCAGCGAGCTCCAGGGTCACAGAGGAGTCCATTTAATGAATCGGGCGCACTGCCTGGGGTTACGTAGGAGCTGGAAATCCACTGTCCTGGGGGCCCAGGAGACGCGCTGGGCCCTAGGGGGGCTTTGCAGGCCCCACCTGTGGGTCTGGCTCTGCCTTGGGAACATCTGTCTGTCATGGACGGTGTGACCCTAGTGGACGCTGCAGTTGACCAGGGCAGGAGCAGCTCCCCTCCTTGCACAGGGGCATTTCTGGGCCTCTGGGGACAGTCCTTGGGCCGTCTCCGCTTGCTTCCTGTGCTCACTCTGCTCTGGCTGCCTCTGGTCCTGGTAGCAGGGTT